AAAAGAAATTACTCATATTCCCTGTATTATGTTCCGTTTTCCTACAGTGTACAGCAATCGATCCTACTGAAGGGTGTGACTTGCCAACATTGTTATCTCGTTTTACTGCTCTAGTAAGCCTTCACTCATATTCTTATCTTTACTTCTACACTACCTTTGCCCTTCTTTTCTCAAAAGCTTTTAACTTTATTTCGTCAGATTAAAGATGTTGCCGTAGAGGAAAGTGATCCCAAGGTCGAAAAGAAACAGGCTTTTGTCGTTGTGAGGCACATCAAGTTTGGGCCCCTGAAAAAGGGCCCTGGAAAAAACAAAAATCCTCCCTCTTCACAGAACGAAGACTCACAACCAGACAAAAATGGGCCTGAAACTGCTCCCGTGGGCCCTGACAATATACTGAACCGGGATGCTGGGCCCAAAAAATCGTGGGCTGTTTTCGACAGAGATGATGATATCAACACAATTTTTGACATTAATGAAGAAAGTTTTGTACTTGAACAACCAGCCGTTTTGAATGTACCATTATCATCATCATCAGCAGCAGGTATAAATCAAACAGGAAACAGATATGCAAGAGATCCAACGGCTGGGAAGCCACCAAAGGCAAATAATACCGGGCCTCAAATGAGCCCGAACCTGCCTCGTGAATCTTTCAGGCAAGATTCCTTCAGACCAAATATTTCCACTCCGCAAAACAAAAGCTACGGTATTTTTAGCACGCCAAAAGTGAACATCACGCCCAATGAACAAAACCCACAAGCCGATAATAACAGGTACAAGAAAAGCATTCCCCCTGGTTCGGGAAGAAATCCAACAGGTAATCCAAGGATGAACAGAGGGCCCGGTGCTGGTAATAATCCAAGTGGAGGTCAATGGTAGTGATTTATCGACAAGGATGAAAAAATAGGCTGAAAATTTTTTCCCATGATGATATGTGATTTTAGTGTCTGGTTTTATTTTATAGGCTCTCTTGATCTTGGAGAGGTATTCCTTTAGTAATACAGTAGCCTGATTTTTCGTATTTGTAAGAGGTAAACTTGGCTTGCATTGGAGAGAGGCGTGGGAAAATGCCGTTGTCTACTGCCATTCTGTATGACGATTATTTTGAACTGATGCTTGGTAACAGTAGAATTCGATACAGAGTTATTTTGCTGTCTATTATGTTTTCAGATGAACTCAGGACTGGAATTACTTAATTAGGGTGTTGTGCAAACTCATTGGGTCGGATTATTCGAGTTTTTCTGTTCATGTAAACTCGGATTGGTCGGGTTTTATGGTGAAATTCAGTAGTGAAATTCTACTGAAATGTGTTGATACGCTCGTGACAAATCAACAATGCTCACTGAAAGAAAACTAAAAAGATTATTTTTACATGTTAATCTTTTGCAAATATACGACCATTCAAAATAAAACAACAATTAAACATACCAAGCATTTATAAACAGTGAAATTTAATACATTATAATTAATGAGCTTTGTAATATACAAATAAGAAAAAGAAAAAAGTTGTACAAAGTAGAAGTTTACTCTTATGAAATCAGTGGAAGGCAGAATCTGTTCAAATCAAGGCCCAGAAAAGCCCATTTAAATCGGGCTCGTACTTCTCCAAAATCACAAGCCCAGCAATAAGTTCCGACAGCCAGTATTCAAGCCCACTTATCTGTCACCTGAAAGTCGTGTCTCGCGACCATTACCAATTTTTCAATTAACAATTAAATCAATAAATAAATTCGCAAACGAAAATCCTTTCACTTCGTTTTTACTTTTTAGTCTGCAGAAATTTGCTGAAAAGCTCCAAGCTACCTTAGGTTCAGCCTTCGGCTCTCTTCTCAGGTACATCGCCGAAAGCGATAAACTATATTCTCCACCTGTTTCAGCTTGTTGTTAATCGTGTATCTATGGCTGTGCTTCTGTACGTGTTGTTAACTTAGGGTTTTGGAGTATGAATAATAGTTCATTCTGTAACTTGTATATGGCGCTACTGCTTTGCAGACATGAAATTGGTCCGTAATATCATTTGTCATCAATTCTGTTTGCAGTTCAAAAACCTGTATTGTGGAGATAGTGCTTAGGCATAGCCGTGATAATTGAGAGAAAGCATTTCTGTGTTCTGATTTGTGGTTGTTTCCTTGTTTGATACAGATAAATTATAATTCTATCGGGTGTAGCTTGGTTAGAAGTCTTGTTACTATGGATTTCGATGAGATTGAATATTTAGAGAATACTGTTGAGAACCCAGAACTGAAGAAGGATAAGTCCAACGGGGATGATATGATGCTTGATTCTAAAGAGAAAGGTCGGGCTCGGAGTTCAAAGCACGCAAGTGATGACGATGATGCAGATGATTTGGACCGCTCGTCAAAGCCTTCGAGGTCTAGGAAAGAGTCCGACGATCGTGGGAAATATAGGAGTGATGATGATGGTGATGATTTTGAACGCCGGTCTAAGCAGTCCAGGTCAAGGAGAGAATCAGATGACCATGAGAAAGGTAAAAGGTCGAGAAATGGCTCATCGAAGGGTGAGAAGGAGAGGCACTCGGGTGGTCGGGAGCACAGAACCCGGGACAGGGAAGATGGTAGTGGAAAGGAGAGAAATAGGGACAGAGATCGAGATAGAGACATGGAGAAGGATAGTGACAGGAAAAGGGAGGGAAACAGAGACAGGAGAGAACGCGAACATGATAGAGAAAGGAACCGGGAGGAGGAAAGAGAGAGGTCAAAGAGAAGCAGAAGTCACTTGGAGAGGCAACACGATGAACGGGGAAGAGAAAAAAGGGGGGACATGGGAAGCATGGATAAAGATAGTAGAGAAGGACGAAGGGAAAGAGAGTTTAGAGGCCGAGATCACGAAAGCAGGTAAGCCTTTCACATTCTGCTATAGAAATTGTAGTTTCCCTGTGTTTTGGCAAATTTTGCTGCCTTTTTCTATTACCTTAGTGGATTTACCTCGGCAGTCGTGCTTTAGTTGTGGATTGCAAAACAGGGTCTATTGTCTCTTAGAAGATATTAAGGACTGTGTTTAGACGATTTAGAAAAATAGCTTTTACAACTATAATGTATCTTAAAAGTTAATTTTGTATTGGTACTTGCATTTTTTACATGGCCTTTTTGTATATCTAGATCTTACCCTGGCAATTATGCTTTGCATATATATTTTGCAGTTTTTGGCTGCAACTTTAATTGATATTGTCCCCCAGTATGATTTCTCAATAGGGTGCCAAATCCAATGAACCTTCCTGCATCCTACTACCAAAAATGTCCGCTGAATATCATTACCATTTTCAATGGACTAATAGGGATGCCAAATTATTGTTAATTTGATCATATAAAGATACTGCATAAATGCAAATGAGAGTATACATTATAATAAGGGGACAAATTGAGTTTGTGCCAGATATGCATGTCTCTGTACATACTTGCATTTGTTAAACTTACACCTTGCGGTTGTTCCGCTGAGCATTTTTTGTGTTTTTCTGAATTGAAACTTATCTGTTTTGAGAATTTATGTTGCACTCGCTTTATTATCTCTTTGTATAATGCATATCTGTTTGCATGTTGCTCAAAGATGAGGTTCTTAGCTATTGGATATGGTGGTTCTGTTGGTTAAAGTGCCTTTTCTGTTGGTATTTCCCATTTTATGATGCTAAAGTTGTTATTTAATATGGTGGTGAATAATGCAACATTGTAACATTAGGTTTGCCATAGAAGGACCAGCCTGTTGTTAGTTCAATGCCTGAAGTTTTTCAGTGTTCACATTTCTGTTAATTGCCACTTTTTCACCAGGTTGGTCAACATTATTCCAAAATCATGATGTTTTATGTTTCTACCAAACATATGCTAGTTCAGCATATTGACTCTATGGAGTTGCGTGCAGGGTTGTTGTCTTGGGTTTGGATCTTTTAAGCATACTGGAGAAATTTATACTTCCTTGTGGGGGTTTTCCTTTAATATGGATCTTTGATATAATTGATTATTTTGAAGGAGAGAACCAAATTTGCAGATGGTCAAGGCTGCTGCACATGTATTAGTTTGCAAGATCATTATGTAATTGTTGTTGATATGGTAGCATCTTGCCGTTTATATTTTTTCTTTCTGCAGAAAATACAAAGAAAAAAAGGAAGATGCCGTGGAGTCGGCAGCTGATCCTGAGAGAGATCAGAGGACAGTCTTTGCTTATCAGGTGGTTGGACTGCATATTAAATTGTCTCTGACTCCCTTCTAGTTTTGTTCGATCACGTCATTGCGCCTGCAAGTCCATTGACACTTTTTTTTTTTTTTTACTATTTGGTAGATTACATTGAAGGCAGGTGAACGAGATGTCTATGAATTCTTCTCCAGAGTTGGCAAGGTAGAAGCACATGTTATATAAGTCGTCTTACATCTTTATATGTGGTGCTAAGATAAGGAAAAATAAATAACATAACAAAATGGTTGACTTCTGGATTGCCTTTTATTTTTGTTCTCTGTTTTTTAAGTTCAATTAGTCTTTTCATCTTTATGATATGTTTCTGTTCCCTTGTTTCGTTGAATGAAAAAACATAAAAAATGATAACCAAATATTTCTTGTGTTGTTGCTAAAACCAATTTTATTTTAAGCAGTTTTTTTTTTTGGTTGGAGAATGTCTATATATGTGCATATTACTGTTATGCTGATAATTTGGCTAATCTGTTATGTGATGAGAATTAGATGAGTGTGCCTGTCAGTTCTTCAGAAGAGATTTGGCTAATCTGTTGTGTGCATATTTTTTAAAGATTTTTGGAAGTGTTAACTGATCATGGATTTTTTTTTTTTTTTTTTTCAGTGAATTCTTGGACGTGTGCGTGTGTTGTCTGTGATTTTTTTAAATAACTACAAAATTATTCTTTTAAGAGATTAATAATGTTCTTTTTGAAATAGGTGAGAGATGTACAACTCATAATGGATCGCAATACCAGACGCTCCAAAGGAGTTGGGTAATTATTACCTGCCTGTACAATAATTTATAGTTGTTTTTCATTCTTGGTTTATCTGCTTGGTATTGAAGTACATTTGCCTTGTACCGACTATTGCTTTAATTATTTTTGTATTTGCTGAAGTGGCAACTGTTTCTCATATGTTCACTGCGTGATGGGGGGGCAAGGGTTAAGGTTTTTAGCTGGTCCTGACCTCTAAGAATAATTATCTGATGGTTGTTAGCCTTGAATTATTGCTCTAAGATCGATCATTGTCTCCAAAGGACTAGGATAATTTTTTTTAATGTAGCCACCAGGCTTCCCAAGATATTCTGTCTATACTACGAACAATCCAGTTGATAAAAAATTGATTTATACTTGTATAATTACTATATGGATATTAATTATATTTCTAATCTAAATAAAATTTTATTGCTTTGTTAAAAATTGTATCTCGTAGTCATCTAATGACTTTTGTTCTAGGGTTACCTGTGGTGATGCCACTTATTAGCTTAGCATCTTTTAACTGCTTATTTTGTATCCTGTTACATTTCTGCAGGTACATTGAGTTCTATGATGCAATGTCAGTTCCTATGGCGATTGCTCTCTCTGGTCAGCCGCTTCTGGGTCAACCCGTCATGGTCAAGCCATCAGAAGCTGAAAAGAATCTTGTTCAGCCTACTCCTGCTACAGCAGGGGGAGGTGTTGGTCCACATTCAGCCGGAGCTAGAAAGCTATATGTTGGCAATCTGCCTGTGACTATCAAAGAAGATCAACTTCGCCAGGTGGAACATCCTCATGCTTACCGATAGCTGATATAACACTGATATAACTTGATCAAGATATTAACAGACTTTTTTTCTTTTTCAATTTTATGATTTTTTTCTTGCTCGATCTTCTTTAGAACTGTGGTAACTAAAGTTTGTGCGTTCCACATCTTGTTTAGGTGTTCGAACCTTTTGGCACAATTGAGCTGATCCAAATGCCCACTGACCCTGGGACTTCGTATTGCAAAGGTTTTGCATTTATACAGGTGACCTTGAGTTTTCTAATAGATGACACTCAATATGATAGTGAGGATGGCTTTTCCTTGTACATTTGACTATTCTAGGTGCATGAAGAGCAATTTGTGTCACTCTAAATGCTTAGATCACATTGGTTTCTCTGCAGTTTGCACGCCTCGAAGATGCGAAGCTTGCTCAAAATTTAAATGGGCAACTGCAAATTGCAGGTCGTCAAATCAAGGTAGTGAGGCTTTACTAGTAATTTTGTTTTTTTCAACTACTGCACATCATTTCTTACTGTGAGAATAGTAGCTGTCTTAGCTGTTTATGTTGTCTTAGCTGTTTATGTTCTCATGTGAAGAAGAAAAGGTCACGTGTGAGGCCGCTATGAAAACTTTGTGAGGGATGCTTGGATACAAATTTAGCTAAAAATATCCAATCCTTCTTAACCAATCATTCATTTTAACTCAAATAACTTTAACTTAGCCCCACTATCATCAATATTATCAATATACTTAAATAATATCAATCAATCATTCTTACATATTACGTCAACCTTAATTTACTATTCATCTACCACATAATTTTAACTAACCATCACTTCACATCAACTCTCTCCTATTTTTACATCAAATCAACTTTAATTATTTTATTTTAAATATTATTCTAATATAAACTTAAAATTCCACTAACGACTAATCATACCACTTTTTTCAAAATTAACCATACCAATTCAAAAAATTCAATCAAAACCAAAAAAATTTATATCAAAGCATCCTCCGTGTGTTTTTATTATCTTGCAGGTGTCTGCTGTCACTGATCAAGCTGGCATGCAAGATACTGGGGTCAATGTTGCTGATTTTGATGATGATGAGGGCAATGGCATGGTTAGTCACATGTGCTGCAGTTTATATCTCATGCTGGTCTTCCTTTTGATGCCTACTTTCTTCTCCTTGTTTTATATGGCTCTGCTACATTCTTTGTCATGAAGATGTGATTTTTTTTTTTTTACATTTTTTTAATCAATGCAGTCTTTGTAAACTTCAAGTAGTTCAGCTAGTTTTTACACTGTTGCTTCTTTTGCTGCAGATTTATTTTTCCGGAGCCTTCTTGTACATGTACTGTGGTTGCGATATATAATTTGTCTCGTCATGCCTAATTTTACTCATTCTTTTATTTTTATATGGTTAACTTCAATTTATTTCTTGTACATATAAAAGTTTGCACTTGCATGTTATTGAAAACTTGATCTGCTTACTACTTTTGGCAGTCCTTGAATGCACATTCTCGAGCACTTCTTATGCAGAAGTTGGATCGAACTGGGACTGCATCAAGGTATTATTATTATTAGTACCTTTCTGTTTTATGTTCGTATTATGTGCTTTCTGCATATAAAATGGCACCATCTTTTTGTTGTGCAGCATCATAGGTTCATCAGCAGTGCCAGTTGTTGGGCAGACATCTGTGGCGGTGCTTCCTGGCTTGGCAGCTGCAGGTCTTTCTATGCCTATTCCTAACGCTCCATCTGTTGATACTGTTGGTGTTCCCAGTGAATGTTTATTGCTAAAGAACATGTTCGATCCTAGTGTGGAGGTTAGTAGAGCAAACAATGTGTAGTACTGCTTCTCTCTCTCTCTCTCTCTCTCTCTCTCTCTCTCTCTCTCTCTCTCTCTCTCTCTCTCTCTCTCTGGTTTTATGCTATCGTGTACATCAGTTGCTGTAGTATTAAATAACTTTATTTATTATATATTGTTTTACACTTAATTGAAAAATCAAATAAAGGGCTTTTGTTTTTATCCCCTTTTCAATGAGACTGACACTTCGTCTGAGGGCTGTTGGAGAAGATGCGAAAGGATCGTTTATTAAGCCACTTCTTTTGTTTGGATCAGGGCAGTAACCCGTTGGATGTAACTGGGCCTGTGTTTTGTTATTACGAAACCCAACTTCTTACATAATGCGCATTTAAGCTATAGGGGTGCGTTTGGATGCCATTAATTTTGCAAATATAATTACACAATTCACCCACAAAATCGTTTTCATTTATACATTTACAAAGTATTTTTTTATTTAATTTGTAATTATCAATAATAACTTTTAATATTTTTAAATGGTTGATTTGTTGTGTTTATTTATGTCACTATTTTTTTTTTATTTTTTTTTTTTTAAAAAAAACTCGATTATAATGTTTTATGTATTTTTCAAACTGGGCATGGTATAATTATTTTCTTTTGCTATTTCAAATATGTGTTGTATACTATATGCAGACAGAGCCAGATTTTGATCTGGATATAAAGGAAGATTGCCAGGAGGAATGTGCAAAGTATGGGAAATTAAAGCATATCTATGTGGAAAAGTAAGTAACCACTAATATAGTTTTGTGAGCATGGCATGAGATGGTTGATGTTTGATTTTGAACTTTTTATTTCATCTTTTTCTCTTACTCATCATTTGAGTCTACTAATGCCATATGGCTTTTGGTGAAAGGGTACACGACCTACGAATTGTAGTTGCATATTCTTGTTTATTTATGATTTAATATGTTATTTTTTTTTCCTTTTGAAAAGATATTGTACATTATGGTTGAGTGCTGCCACTTTTTTTTGTTTGTTACTAGGAACTCGGCTGGATTTGTATACCTGCGGTTTGAGCAAACCCAATCTGCTTTTAGTGCACAGCAAGGACTTCACGGTCGGTGGTTTGCTGGAAAAATGATAACTGCAACTTTCATGGTAATATTCTCTCTATTTCCTTCCTCAAAATAAAATTTTCTTTTCCTACATATTTTTTTTTTTAACTAAATGGAATAATAATAATTACTTTGTTATTTATTTCACACTGTGCAGTCTCCCCAGGATTACGAGGCTAAATTTCCAGATAGCAGCTAATAAGGAGTTTGCTCATGTGGCTTAAAAGATTGAGCTCATCAATGTTTTGTGAAACTTTGTATCTTGTTTGGTTGGGAGTAAGAATTTTGTATCAATCCATATTATGTGAGTGAGGACTGACTCGTCTTTTCCTGATCCTGGGTTTATTGTTTTCGAATTTCGGCAACAATTTGTGGATATGCAACTCTAAGTTACCCTTGTGGTGAATAGTGATTAATGATCTCCAATGTTATGGGTTTTGGTAGGCTTGAAAAGGGTTGCAATTAAGGATTATCTAAATTTTATTAATGGAGCTTTTTTGTGAAACTTATACTCCTGAGAAGGAAGTGTAATGTGATATATATGTACCTGTGGTGACTGATGAGTACTTCATTTAAAATATGCAAAATTTAGTTATGTATTTTTCTTCACGCTGAGCTGGAAATGAGGTACCTTATAATTAATTTTGTCAAGTATTGTACTCTAAAGGTACATAATATTACAATTTTGTGAACATGTAGTAATAAAGCTACGAATGTTGGTGGAAACAATAATTCGTTGTTATTTTTAACAAGGTGTGTGTATAAGACCAAATTTAAGTACAATATTATCTAGTTACTAGTAGGACCAAAGCCCATCGCACTAATAAAGTTCAAGTTTATGTATGCATTCTTATAATTTATCTACTATAAATTGTTCACTGCAGATAATAGGGCTGGATTGAGACTATGCGGGTGAGCATCGCCGAAACAAACCAGAAACCGAATCCTTAAAATTTTTTCATCGAACCACACTGCAATAGAAGGAAAAATTGAATCGAAAATTTCAGATCGGTTTGTGCGGTTTTTCGGTTAAACGAAATTAAAAAAATAACCATTAATTACTGTAATGTAAATAAAAGTGTAAAAATTAAGATGATATTTTATTAAAAAAAAAGTGACATTTTATGATATTCGGTGCCTTTCGGTTAGAACCTCACATTTCGGACAGAAAACTGAACCGCACCCAAATATTTGCGGTTTTTCAAAACTCAAACTGCACTGATACCCGAATTCTTCAAGAACCACACAGAATAGCTTGGTTCCCTGCAGTTTTTCGATGTTGGCTCGGTTTTGCTCACCCCTCTATGCCATTTTTCCATAATTACCCTAAAAATACAAAATAATACTCCCTCCTATTCAAAGTAAATGTCGTTTTGAGAAGTTGCACAATAATTAAGAATATTTTTGTTGTCAATAATAACCATATTTAATAAAGATAGAGATGAATGTTTTGAGAAAAAATGAAGAGGGAATATAGAAAGACGTAGTGTATTTATTGACTAAATGAGGGTAATAATGAAAAAAACATGTACTAAAAATCTAAAACGACATTTATTTTGTCAATAGTTGATAAAGTCAAAATAACATTTAAAAAGAATAGGAGGTAGTAGCACTTTTCTCAAACAAATAAGAATGGTAACCATACTAACCAAGATGCGAAGGAACGAAAAAAAAAGAGAGTACAGAGAAAGGAAAAAAAAAACACACACACACACACACACACACACATTAATACACACAGAACTTTGGCTAATCAATTGGCTACAGAGCAAGATTGAACGCAGAGCAAAACAATCCTTTCAAATTTAGGGCTTTTTCTTTATTCGCTATTCTCTCCCTGATCATCGAATCTCAGGGTTCGATTCCAAGCAATCTCCCGTGCACAATACTACATCTCTATTTCCGTTTGTGTTTCTTTTGAATTTTCTGGCAATTAATCAGTTTTGTCTTCTGACTTGCAGCTCACAGAAGGTGATCCAAATCCTACCTTTCCAGTCGCTTCAGGTCAAATTTTATCTCAATATTCACTTTGATCAGGTAAATTCCAATCAGGGCCCGTAAGTTTAATGCTTCTAATGCATTGAAAGGAATGGATTTCGCAGCTTCTATGTATGTCTTATGTATCGATTTTACTGCCTTTTTCATTCTCAGATTTTGACGAAGAATGACTCAAGACGTGGAGATGAAGGAGCAGCAGCCTGCCTCCTCAAACTCCGTCCCACCCACTTCGCCGTCCACTCTTCAGCGTAAGTATCGGATTTATATGTTTTTTTTTTTTTTTTTTCGAAGTGTATGATAACGATGAGGGTATGGCCTTGTAATTGTGGGATTTTTAAGCAAAATATGCAGGGAAATCTTAAATTGTGCATCTTTTCCGGTTTCTTTGGTTGCCAGGTACATTTGGGAAAGCTTAGATGACTAATTCTTATTCAATTATATGTCAAAAAAAATATTTTATCAAAAAATTCAATGATAAATGATGCCTCCTTTTCTGTATCGGTTTGTCTTGGTTGAAAGCCCCAAGCTGAGTGTACTCTAATTGTGTTTCTTTATTTTGTATCAGATTTGAAGGACATCGCTGGATTGATCGAGGTGGGGGCTTACACTCGAGAGGTTCGGAGGATTGTGAGAGCTATTCGGTGGACAATTCAGCTGAGAAAGAAGCTACAGGCTTCTCAGATTTCTGCTTTTCTCAAATTTTCCTTTGTGCCCGGATCTGAGGTGCATTCCCGTTTGTCCTCATATGTTCCTCAGGTAATCAAGTTGGAAATTCCTTTCAAGAAGTTGAATTATTCGACAGATTAATTTTGTATGTCTTTTCTGGCGTAATACTTCCTTTTTCAGCTGTTCTGCCCATTGGCATATTCTCCTGAAAAAAATTCTAATGGTTTAGTTGTTGCATGTTCATCCTAGAGTGTCTTGTTGTGTTTTCTGTAGGAGGGTGAGCAAGACATGGAAATCGATAGCGCAAATTCTGGTACGCAAGCCCCTGCAAAGCATTCCTTGCCTGAAATCGAAATCTACTGCTATTTGCTTGTTCTGATTTTTTTGATTGATCAGAAGAGATACAATGAGGTATGTGTGCATCGTTAAATTATGCTCTGTTTTAGGTATCATGTTACACATTTAAAATTTGCATTTGCATGTAATTTATCATCGTTACTTCAGGCCAAGGCTTGCTCTTTAGCTGGCATTGCTCGTTTGAGGAATGTCATAGAAGAACAGTTGATGTCCTAGCAGCCAGGCTCTACTGCTACTTCTCCTTAAGTTACGAACTTACTGGCAATCTTGCTGAAATACGAGGGTATGCATATGTGTTTACTCGTTTGAATTGTGCAGTAGCAATGAGGCCTTTTTCCTTGTTTATTTGATGAATTTGTAAGCCTAAAGTGTGCTTACCTTACTATTTATGGTTTCATATCTGATTGAAAATAGCTTTTATTGGCAGTGATCTTCTTGCTTTGCACCGAACTGCAACTTTGCGCCATGATGAGTTGGGGCAGGTATGTTTTTTACTTGACAGTAAAAAAACAGCTCATCATCTTACTATTGCTGCTTTGTTTTTTCATGGTTGATAATGTGGCCGCATGTGATTGCAGGAAACTCTTTTGAATCTTTTACTGAGGAACTACCTTCATTACAACTTGTATGATCAAGCAGAGAAGTTGAGAGCAAAGGCTCCACATTTTGAGGCTCATTCAAACCAGCAGGCAGATCCCATGCATCGTTCTCTTTACTTATGTTTCAGAATGTTTCTGTTGAGGAATTATCTTATTTGTTAGATCATTTTCATTTTATTGAGGTTAAGGGGATTACTTTAACTAGTATTATTGTCATGGTTTAAGAATTTAAACTTCAAACTAAGTGTAATTAACACAAACAGGGTAAGTGGAGTGTAATAAATGCTTCGATACTAATATTTTTTTCCCTTTGATTGTGAAAAACTACTTTCTATGAAGAAAATGTAATCCACTACAAGTGCATTATTTTTCTTTGATTTCCTTTCTTACTTCTGAATATATCACTAATACTATGGCTGCAATGATCTTTTGGCCAGGTGGGAACATGTTGGTTGTAATAATTAGTATTTACACGCAACTTTATTTTGTTCAAATGCTATGTGTTTGCTATCTAATTGTTGTACTTCTCTCCAATCCTCTACAGTTTTGTAGGTACCTTTTTTACCTTGGTAAAATTAGGACAATGCAGTTGGAGTACACTGATGCTAAAGAGTCTCTTCTTCAAGCTGCCAGAAAAGCACCTGTGTCTGCTCTTGGTTTTCGGGTTCAATGCACCAAATGGGCTGTGATTGTCCGCTTACTGCTCGGCGAGATTCCAGAAAGAACTGTTTTCATGCAGAAAGGGATGGAGAAAGCCCTGCGACCCTACTTTGAGCTTACCAATGTGAGTATTGTTAGACTGATTGTTCAAGGATATCCAATCACCTTGTGATAATTCTCACCTATAAGCATAATATAATAATATTCTCCGTAAACCTGTTGACTTTTTGTCTGTTAGAGCTTTGTGTTGGTCAAGCTGTTCGGTAAATATTAGTTAGTGGTTTCCTTGCTAGTTTGTATGATAAGCGCAATCACAAGGTAAAGAATCATTCAAGCTAAATGTGTGGCTCTGAAAATTTGAAAATATTTATCATCAAATAGTGATATGCCTACTACACAAGTACTCCAGATTTTAGAAATAGATGATTGGGATGGAGAAATAGAAAATTGAGGTTTGGTTCAATCACCCAAAAAAAAAAAAAAAAAA